CCCCCGCCCCCACCCCCCTAGGTTTTACCGTTTCCCCAAATCACATGATACTTGTTTTCATACAATCAGGTAAAAACCCAGTTCCAGAAAGGTTGGGACGTTTAAAAAAAATAAAATAAATAAATCAACAAATAAATAAATGCAGTAAAAAGTGAATAAAAGAAAACGTTTGCATCTGTTGACGACGGGTCACGGAGCGCACATGCAACATTCTGGATTGTTCCTCAACTAGCAGGTGAACTAGGAACAGATGAGAGATCCTGATTGGGTGTAAAAAGAGCATCCACCAGGGGGCAGAATGTGGCTCACAAAAGCCACCGATGTTGGTGTAATGGGGGTGGGGGGGCTGCTCCAGTAACCATGGCAACGTGATAGAAACTGCATGCATATTTTAGCAGGACGGTTAAACCGATGTCCTTCTGGACTCACGTCTCGACTGTCGAAGAGCTCGGGGGGGTTTGAGGAAATCTGAATCAAAAGTAATTTTTTTTAGGGTGAGGGAGTGAGGAAGGGAGGGAGGGAGCAGCCATGGAATGACGGTGAGAGGTTCTCCACCCTATTTTTTTAGGGTGAGGGAGGGAGCAGCCAAGGAATGACGGTGAGAGGTTCTCCACCCTGCACCACACACACCGCACATACAACACCACAGAAGACCATCGGACTTAGAGCAACGAGATCTGAACCCATGACCTTCTTGCTGTAAGCGGACGGCCCTCGCCGCCTCTCCAGCGTGTTGCCCTGAGTGTGACTGGTGAAAGAGGAATTAAGATGATTCACTGTGGGTCACGACCCCATGAAGGGAGCATGAAAGGAGGGTTGAAGGACGTCGTTGGGAGTTAAAGTTTTCACTTTAAGAAAATTAAATTAAGTCGGAGCCGGAGACTTTGATTTGAATCTTTTTTGGGAATAAACCAGATATCGTTTGGATTTTTTTTTTTCTTTCTCAAAATGTCTAAAAAGAGTCCCTTTTCTGGCAGTGGGTTTTGATTCGTCGAAGAGAAGATTTGCTTCTTAATAAAAGTCTGACATGATCGTCTCTACACATCAACAGTAATTCATTTTTCTTTACAATACTGTATGTCTATTGTGACATGCAGAGAATGACACAGTTAACGATGACTTGTTCAAGTCGTAGATATGTACGTTCAGCTAGTTGACACACGACCTCCTCACGTTAGCTCCGCCTTCCCCGGAGCATATTGCTATAAAATTGCAGAAACGTTGAGAAAGTAAATAGATACATTACAAATATGCAAACAGATACGGTAGGTAGCTTTTTTCACTCCTCGTCGATGATTATTTGCATCCACAAAGACAATCTATTGATAGCAAGACATCTCATAGGCATTCACGAGTTCAAGACACACTTCAAATACGTACGTACGTCGACCGGTCGGGACCCTCGGTTTGGTTGGCCAACCGTGTGCTGGAGAGAGGACGTGACTCTGTATCAAGAAGAAATTTGGCAACACCAATCTCAGTATGGTTTACTTCGTACTGGAGGTTTTTTCTGTTTTTTTTTTTGTGGCAAAACATTGTTGGCAATTGGAACACATGGACTGAGTAGATACAGCAGTGGAGCAGCTGAAACAGATCAAAGGGAATTAGTCCGATTGTTTAATTTTCATCAGCTCTTTTCTCTGTTTTTCACAAATCGTTTTTTTTTTTTTTTTTGTAGTTTTTGACGCAGTTACAGAGCCTGAACCAACTTCCTGTTTCCTCTGCAGCCGTCATTTTGACCACAAAGTTTTGGCAGAACGTTTGAGTTACTGCCCCCCCCCCCCCCCCCCCTCTTCACCTCGACCGTGTGTGTTTTCTCTCCCCCTCTCTCTCTCTCTTTCCTTGCTCGGCCCCTCAGATCGCCGTGTCCCACACCACCGCCTGCGGCCTCTGGCAGGGCGGCGTGCCAGCCTTACGGGGCTCAGGTGTCCGTCTCCAGCTGGGGAGGATGGGCATGCTGTCCTGCTTACACAGGCTTTTGTCAGGGCGCCTGTGGGCTTTGATCTCTTTGCACAGGCAGCGTTTGCGTTCGATGACTTCCAGCAGTTTGCCGTCCCTCTGGGTCTGCGTCGTGGACGGAGCGGCGCCCCCGCCCATGGTGGGCTGTACCTGTGCCAGCTGGGCCAGCTGTTGGAACTGCAACTGAAGGTGGTGCTGTTGCTGGAGCTGCTGGAGCTGCTGCTTTATCTGCAGCTGTTGCTGGTGGAGCTGAAGCTGCTGCTGCTGCCGCGAGACGCTGGGGCTGCTGGGACTGCAGGGGGGCTGAGGCTGCGCCAGACCGTGGATCTGAAAGACAGTCGAGAGCGTGACTCCATGTGGGATTGAACGATGGATTGAAGTACAGTAAATATCAGTTCGTTCTAAACACATGGAAAAAGAATAATACAGACAGTTTGACTGTGTTTTCAGCTGATGTAAGTGCTCAAAATATGATAACAGGTGTGCTGCAACATGAACTCCTTCTCAAAGACTCACCACTGTGCATGTTATAGTCACAGACCTCTGTGGATGTTTGCTCTAAAGTCCAAACACGTCTTTGCTGTCCCTGATTGGCTGTGTCTAAAACCTGCAGCGTATCCAGGCAGAGACAAATGGGTCAATGTGCAGCGTCAGCAGAGAGCGCTGTGGAGCCCACAGTTCTCCAGTAGCTAAGGAGGTAAGAGAGCGTTAAAGAGGGTGTAAAATACTGTAGGAGGCGCTGCTGGGGTCTGGCGTTAAAGAGGGTGTAAAATACTGTAATACTGTAGGAGGCGCTGCTGGGGTCTCCTCAGGATTCGTCCAAACATCGGAGGCTGCAGTTTGACTGCAGTGCTGAAGACGGGGTGGAATAGTTCCAGTCAGGACCATTGTTGTAGTTGACGGTGCATTAGTAACCATATTTTGGGCAGAGTCCTAAAATCTCCTCCCTCTGTTTGAGTCGTCGTTTCTTCTTCTACTGAACCGCCTTAAATCTTTTAAAGATCGCAGGCGGGACTAGAACCAATGTTTTTAAACATTGGGTCACGTATGAGATTAACACGTAGATTAACACGTAGATTAACACCTCAGGTCAGTTAATGTTAAACAATTCACCACAGTGTGTACAGAAAGACCAGTGAATCAGTGAAGCTCCACTGAGTCGTACTGAGGTCAAATGTCCTTTTTTTAAAAATAAAAATAAATCAACTCTATATGTAATGTGGAACAAAGAGCACGGTGTAAAAAACGTTATATTGCAGAGGCAAACCGACCCCCGGGCATGTTGACTACAACTGCAGTTCCGCGGGTTAGCCGCCAGAGGGCAGCATTGCTTCACTTCTCTCAGTTCTGAGGGAGGGTCAAGCAGACACACAAACAGTCTCTGCAGCAACACTCAAACTGCGTCAGCACTTGCTATGCAGCCAGGATCTGGGTGAAATGTGCTGCTGCTTCTTCTTGACTGCAGCTCGTTTCACCACAACAGAGCACAGTGTGTTCCCTGACTCTGACTCTGACTCTGACTCTGATCCCAGCCTCCGCCCCAGCCTCAGCCTCAGCCTCTCTCCACTGCTCCTCTTCTCCTCAGACAGACCAGAGCCTGGCGTGCTCACGGGATAAATCTGTCAGTTATAAATAGACCTGCAGCAGGAGCAGCAGGAGCAGCAGGAGCAGCAGGAGAAGCAGGAGCAGGAGGAGCAGGAGGAGCAGGAGGAGACGGATCAACTCATTTCCTCCTTTTCCCTCCCTCACTCTCAACGACCATGAATGAACCCGACGCAGTTCACGGGGGTGAAGCTGCGGGGCGCTCACCCCTCACCTGACTCAGGGCCTCCCGTGCCGGTAGGCTGCTCTGTCTCTGGACGTCTCCTCCACCCACCTGTCTGCCTCCGGCGGCGGAGGAGGAGCGGCCCAGCCGCCCCACTTCTGTGGAGAAACAAAGACGACACCGTGTGACTGTTAATGAGGAGGAACAGGAAGAAAACTTTGGCTTTCTAGCACACAGAGGTGTGTGTGTGTGTGTCTACAGTGAGGTGAGACCAAACACCCCGGGCGGTGGATATCGACCTAACCTAACTTCATTTAACACACAGCTGAACGTCTGCTTTGTTTTAAGGGAACATTAACGAAAAGGTATAGAAAGTAGGAATTTTTTTTTTTTTAAAAAAAACAAAAAATAAACATAACATTCATATAAAATGATTCCTTCTTCTTTCTTTTGATTAGTGAGTGTTTGTATTTTTTCACTTTTCTTGATTTTGAGTGTCTTTGTGATGCATCTGGGTGAATCCAGCAGGGGGCAGTAGTGCTACCCAAGCCTCTAAATTACCATTTTTAGCACCACAGAACACATTTTTCAGGCAAAAATGTCTTATGTTTCCTTTTCGGTTAAAGATATCAAAACAGATTTTTTTCTTTTTTTTTTAAATAAAATGTCACAACTTTTACCGAAACTCTGAAAGATTTATTTTTTCCTCATCCATTTACCTCCGTTGCGACAGGCAGGGAAGGTCTGGCAGGGCAGGGGCAGCCCTACTCGTGGTAATGCTCTGAATCCCAGGCCGCTGTCTGCCCCAGCCAAGGACTCAGTGTGGCCCAGGGCCCGACTGCTGGCCCCCCCGAAGTGGACCGGGATCCCTGAGGGTCCTCCTCGAGAGCCCAGGCCCAGCTCCTCCTTGTCCATCCGTAACAGGGCGTCGGCGCTTCCATTCCAGGCACGACCGTCCTCCTCTGTGGACGGATAAATATTTCAGACGTGTTAGGACACTTTTCATCATTTTTTTTTTTTTTTATTTTTTTCCCTTTAAACCGCCCCCCCACTCCCTCTC